CAATAAAAAATACTTGCCCCGGGCGATCGGACGATGGTTAACATCGAGCCCTGCTGGTGTAACATTTCTCATCATTTCTATCATGTAAATGGAAGAAGAAAAGGTGATATCGGCTTCAAGAATCAACCCCAATGAAGGATTCCACATCCTCCATCTCCGACCCGCTCAAGTACGTCATGTGGAGCACTTGTGCAATAATGTTAATCAATGAGAACTCTTTCACATCCATCCATCCATTTGAGGTAGAGAACAATCAATGATCAACTATCGGTCTTTGTAATAGGGATAAATGATCCTATTTATCCCTTTGGAATATCATGACAATTATCGCATGTTTTGCTCCTATTAATTTAATAATATCGCGCATGCTCTCCTCGAGCTCCTAGGAAGTTGGAGCGGAGCAAGACGGAAGGGACAGCGAAGGCTGTAGGCTTTGCTTTGCACAGGTGGACTGAAACGAAGCTGGGCCGTTATGGAGGATGTGGAATTTCAGGGTTAGACTGATGTCAAAATAATCTGTATCGGCCTGAAAAATCCTGTATCGGTTGACGTCTATCGAATTAATCAATAGTTATCAATATTCAGCTAAATTGAAATCATAAGGCAGTTCATCCTGGACGCCTATAAAAGTATGATCTGTAGCTTTGGTTCTGGATCAAAGGCTGGGAATTTTCTTCAGATGATAGAACCTACGAAAGGATCAGTGATACCAAAGTCTGACCCAGTCTGCAGGCTTCACTGCATCCTCGACACTGACATTTGCTCACTAACCAGTTTTGTTGCCTCATGCAGAAGATCCCAGATCTGCTGGAGATCTTTGCACTCTGGGCTGATGTTGAGGACCAGACACACTTTTTTTAAAAAGGGCTCCTTCAGCTTAGCTTTGCATTCCTGCAGCTGGGTTTTCACATCTGGTTCCGCCTGATCCTGGTGGGTTAAGAGGATCACTGTTCGGCTCCAGACGTTTTCCCCAAACATCGTCTCCATCTGCTTCACTGTTTTCTTAACATTTGTGGGGAAGAAACCCAGTCTGGCAACCAGCAGGATGGCATGGGGAACAGGACTCCACAGGTTGATGCATCTGAGGATCTCCTTCTTCAGGTCAGGGCTGAACCTTCCAGAGATTCCTGGGGTGTCGATGATGGTCACCTCCCTGCTGAAGATGGTCCCTCTCTGCAGACAGCACTGGGTTCCACCTGATCATGACAGTAACAAAGTAAATCTACCAACATTGGGATTTCTGGTTTGAACCTTTCTTGCAAAAATCGCCTCTGTCAGTTTCTCCATAATTTCACAGAAGCCTTTTGGTTTGCTTATCGAAATTTAACAAAGGTCAAAGGTCAATCCCTTCAGCTACAGATTTAACACCACAGGACATTACTCCAATCCTGAACTTCTTTGAACTATGAGCTAAAATGTTCTGATTCTTATTTTTAATCTTTTTCTTCCTGTCGATGCTCTTCGTCTGATGTCCATTTAACCTCCTTATAATTACTGGATCTGCTGAAACATGGAGCCTTTTATCATCAAAGATTTGGTGAAACAGCTTTGCACCAAAGCTGCTTGCGTCCAACCATACTTTGGGCCTGATCTTCAGAGAGTCCAAATAAGAGGCGTTATATATATTTATAGAGGGCCTAACTGTCAGGGTTGGGTGAAATTGGTTGAGGACCCAAATGCAAAAATTAGTTATTTGGATGAAGACGGCACTAGAAATACAAATCCAGCAACCAAAAGGAAGAAATCAAAATTAGGAGACACCGGGGGGGGAAACACGTATGAGGATAGAAGCAATAAAGAGAAACCAGCACCGAGGAACTGCACAGGAAGAGTATATGTGGGAGACAAAACAAAGACTGGGCTAATCAACTGATAGGGAGCAGGTGTGGATGGAAGCAACTAGAAGCTAGGGAAAGGAGACTGGCTCAAGAGGGCAATAGAGAGCAACACAAGAAACACAACACTGCTTAAATATAACTAGAAAACAACTAAAACAGAACAAATTGGAAATGAAACAATAACCAAGAAAACACATAATCACATAAAAAAAGCAAATCAAAAAGAAACTCAAACGGAACCAAAAAATCCACAAAGGACAGGATCACGACACTTACACTGGTAGTCCATCTCTAAATGGGGAAAAATTCTGATTTTCTAATTAGCTTTCTTAAGCTTTTTTAACTTGAAATATGTTTGACTTGGAATTAAATGTTTTTGTTAATAAATTCTTATATTTTAACTGGAAGTTGTTGTGAATGTTAAGTGTTAAAGCTTTAATCCCACCTTCATCTGTTAACTTTAACACATAGCATCTTCAGCCTTAGTTCAAAGAACAATATATGACAGTCTGAAAGTTATCTGAGTAAACTCTAAATAGCATAAACACATCCAGGTGCACCGAGCTGCAGGCTGCACTGCTGGGTAGCCTCAGTCTGTGGTTTACCTGAGAGCTGACTGGCGGCAGCACTGCTGGTGTTGAAGGCAGTTCTTCCCAGTATGGTGTTCCCACTGGAGCTCTTCCCCACTCCAGGCCACCCAACAAGAACCAGCTGGATGTCTGTAACTGGACCACAGAGAACATAACATTCTGATCAAACTCAGGTTGTTTGTGTGATTCCGTTTGTTAAAGACTTTTAACAGGTCAATCAGAACTGAAATTAAAAATTAAAGCATGAATTTTTTTCTGATATTGTTCTTTTAAACTGTGGTAAGCCTCGTGTGTTGTTTAAAGTTGTTAACTCTGCTCTGTCTCACAGTTATTAATAGCAGTCTGTCCTCTGGAGTAGTCCCTTTAAATCTTAAACATGCAGTCGTGCAGCCTTTATTAAAAAAACCTGTGCTGGATCCTACTGTTCTGTGGAATTTTAGGCCTATCTCTAAGTTGCCTTTCTTCTCAAAAATCTTAGAGAAGATTGTTTATTCTCAGCTCATGGACTTTTTAAATGAACAAAATGTTCTTGAGATTTTCCAATCTGGTTTTAAAACATTGCACAGCACAGAATCAGCGCTTTTAAGAGTTTTTAATGACATCTTTTTAGCTACTGAGTCTGGACACTATGTCGTCCTTGGACTTTTCGATTTGAC